TGGTTTAGTTACAAGTATAGTTGATTCATTACGACAATAGGTTTCACATACATTAGAAAATTACACCATAACTAGCCAAGATAATAACATTCAATTAACCAGTAATTTTATTTGCAAGAGTAGTGAGGAATTCCATAACCCTAAGAACTTTCTATTATTATTATTATTACTTTTATTTTATGTTTATAGTGTAAATTTAATATCTTGCATTTGCGATAGTCTAAATAATAAAAGAGTTCGAAAACTATCTATAATTGGCAATCTTCCTTATGGGATGGACATCTAATATCCCTATACTCGATAAATGATATGTATACTTATAGAAAAAGGGATATTTAGGTTTTATTAAAATTTGGTGCATGGTAGAACCTCGTCATTCTTCCCTACCAAAACATTATAAACGTTAACAAGTAAAAGGGATGAATTCACAAGTCTTATCAAAATTACTCAAGAACATCAAATATTGTCAAAATGGTCACTCATATTGTCTTAGAAACTTAAAATTAACTATAAATGAACTAAAATATAGACAAACTATTAGGTAAAATAGATACTTGTCACATGTAATAAGGGTGACTTTTCTCTTATCACTTTATTTCTTGTATTGATTCTCATGTTTATTGAATATACTAGTTTGGTTGTTATTTGTGTTTCATTTACATTTTGCTAGTTTGTATGCATAGGGCTGGATAAACTACTTATGCTTGTTAAGTGATATTTTCTTGATTATTTCATCTTATTTCTTGAGCAAGTTATTTAACATTTTGCTATTACAATCATGATTAACTGATCATTAATAGTGATAATGTTAAGGTGTTGTTTCATCAATGAAAGTTGTGATTTAATATTAATTCGTGGAAGTGTCCAACCTAGGAAAGTACTCTCACGAAAGTAGGGAAACAACTTTATGACTTTAACAAATAATTTCATAGATTCTAATGAGCTTATAAGTTGTTTCTTTATCACGAACTCTGTCGCTTATAAGTAGCTCCACCTCTGCTTATAGTTTATGCGTCAATATATACTTTTGTGCATTTAATGAATGGATTGACACGAACTCTTTCGTGCATGACATTTGTCCTAGGCAACGTTATTGCAGAGTATGTGATCCAATTACCTATGTAAGGTCATAATGTTAAAGATACAAAGTTATTTTGTAACGGTCCTTAAAATCCAACTCAACTAATAGAACCACTAATTAGGCGAATATGAGAATTCTGATTCGATTCTCAATCTTCTCTCTTATAAGGTTTAGAATTTCTCTTTGAACTAGAAAAAGAAATGCAATTGTAACATTTATCAATAGTAATTTGTTATGAAACAAACAACTTACGCTAAATTTTTGGATCATACACTTATCCTCTTACCGACTTCTTATGGGCCCAACATGTTGAGTAGAGTTAAAATGGAACATCCCAAAAGACAAAAATTAAAACGATCGATGAAATAGGCACTTAGTCAAGCTGGAACCTCAGAGAGTCTTGAGGAAATGAGAAGCACAAGTGCGAGCAGAGCACCAAGGAGAAAGAAACAAGTTCTTGGAGAATGCGATTTGATCTCAAAGCTCAATCAAATTCCACCAGTAGATGATAGATGATAAGATCGAAAATGTAGGACCATTGTCAAGAGCTGTCAGCTAAAGCCTTATGCATGAAATCTGAAGGGTTTCGTTGGGAGGTAGAAATCAAAGTAGGGCATAGACGGAGATGGTTGCCTATTGAGCGTTGGAAGTATTTCACATACGAGTTGCAAAGCCCAACTTGCATAATTTTAATGAAATTGATGGAGATTTAATTTTAATGGAAATGCCAATTATTCTTGTGCATGTCATACATGACATTCTTTCTACTTCGACTCTCCCCAAGCTGAAAATTCTCATCTCAATTTCCTCCTCATGTGATGGCTACATGTCTGTACATGTTCCCCCACGACAAGAATAATGAATCAATTACCATAATTGCCTTAAAATTTTCTCAGCTAGTGATAAATTTTATAGTTTTGATTTTTCTGCCTCCGATTCCAGTCTACTTCTAGATTTATTAACTGAAAAAAAGAAGAAAAAATAAATTAAATCTTGTTTAATTAAAGTCGTAGTCAAGATATCCATAGTAGACATAATTATCTCTATCGAAATGAATGAAGCTTACTAGCTCGTGATCGTTGGCCTCTATTGCAATTCTCTTGTTCAAACTTCAAATTAACCATGGAGGTTAGAACATTGAAACCATAGAGCATACAAGCAAATTTAGAATTTTTACAGTCTATGGATTTAGGGCATGTTTAATTATCAGTTTCAACTCCATAATATTATATAGACACTACCTCTAACAGTTGTAGATATTAACACAACAAATATAGATTGTGAAACCCCATATTTTTGGCTTTTACATTAAGTGTATATAAGTTTGATATTTTGTGGGTTTTGGGATACAATTTTTAATTTTAGAGGGAAAAAATGTTAGAAGTAATAACTTATGAGAAGCTAGGTATATTTATGTGTGAAGTATATATTGTAATAGTTCTTTTATAACCGAAAACCTATAAGCCAGACTAATTTATAGAAAAGCAATGAATGATGAGAATGAATCAAGTGTTGAAAGTAATAATTGATGAACTTGAGTTAAATTTAAAGGTTCATAGTCGAATACTTATCATTTGAGGAGTTCAGAATCGTCCCAATTTTAACGAATATCCGCAGAAGGATAGAAGTTCATAATCCAGATAATGGTAAGAACATGACGAGTAACATTCTAGAAGCAATATAATAAAATCAATCAGTACGAATGGCTAATATAAGTTAAGTACAGACATTAAAGATTGAAATGCAAGGCATTTGCCTTTTGGTTGTAACTGATAAATTTAATGATTAATAAGGCTTATGAATTAAGTGATAAGAAGGAATAAATTCTACAAGACCTAGTAAATGTCTAGTTAGAATTAATAGCAAACCAATAGTACACTATGAAACAAACGTGTGAAAAGTTAGAAGCCTTTATAACCACCGAAATCAATCATTGAGATTTAATGTTGGGGGTTGCAAAACTCATGCTTAGGAAATAAATCCATTAGGAGATGAAGAAAGTGAGGGAATTGAACAGTGTTTACTTTGCATATTTTTAATATGTTTTGTTACTTAGTTTTTGGTTTGTTTTTAGGGCTTTAAGGATGAAAAATACTCATTTTAAGCAAACATTTCTTCAAGCTGCAGTTAATAACCGAAACTTGTATTTGAATGGTTTAATGTGCAAAACATGTTGTTTTTGTAGATTTTGGTCTTTCATGTTTATTTCGAATCAAGTGAAATACAAGTAAGATATTGTCAGAGATGATTTGAGAACGATTCGGAAATGACAAAAGCTACAAAATTACTCTTCTGAGGAGAAAATCAGGGCTAAAATGAGGAGTAACCAATGTTTTGACCCTCGTATTGGGATGAAACCAGAAATGACATGGAAAATACATGGGAGGCAAAACAAGAGGTAAAATGAGGGTCATTACCTGTATTTTCTCATGGCCTTGTATAGCTTTTCCATAGCTTTTATAGCTTATTTTTCTAATCAAATTTTAGCGGTAACTACTGAAGAAATATTGGAGATTTCAAGAAATAACTTTTGGAGATTCGAAAGCACAAATTGCACAACTTGAAACATGATTATTTGGAGCAATTTCTTCTATAAATAGGGGCCTTCAAAACTCATTTTCATAACCTTTGAAGGTTAGGAACTACCACAAAAAATGTAACTTTCACTATTCTCATTAGTTAATTAGCTTAGTGTAGGTAAGTTTTATCCATCTTGTATTGTAACTAAATATAGATGAAGTTGAGGATGAAGATGAAGATTGAGAGTTTTGGAACTCATGTGTCAAGGGTGACTTCTTTTCTATCACTTTATTTCTTAAATTGATTCTCATATTTAGTGAATATACATGTTTGGTTGTTATTTCTGTTTCATCTACGTTTTGCTAGTTTGTATGCATAGGGATGGATAAACTATTATGCTTGTTAGTGATATTTTCTTGGTTATTCCATCTTAATTCTTGAGCAAGTTATTTAACACTTTTGTTATTACAATCACGATTAACTGATCATTAATGGTGATTATCTAAAGGTGTTGTTTCATCAATGAAAGTTGTGATTTAACATTAGTTCGTGGAAGTGTTCAACTTAGGAAGTATTCTCACGAAAGGAGGAAAAAACCTTTGTGGCTTTAACAAATAATTTCATAGATTCTATGAGTTTATAGATAGTTTCTTTATCACTAAACATAGGTGAGGGATAGTTATATGTATGGTTGGTACATTAGCGAAAGCGAATATCACTTATATTAGAAAATTAGCCATGAGTTAGTCAAGATAATCAACTCATTTAATTGGTTATTTTCACTTGTAAGAGTAGTTAAAGATGATATAACCCTAGGCACATTTCCTTGTTATTTTTACTACTTTATATTTGTAAATTAGATTTACTTGTTTTAATTGTGACAATCTAAATAATAGAGGAGTTCGAATCACTCCAATAATTGACAATCTTCTCTCTGGGGTTGACACTCCAGCATTCCCTATACTCGTGTACAGGTCGTACTCCCCACGCATCAGCAGTGAAAGTTTGGATTATATTTAAAATTTGAAAATAATTAAGGTTCAAACTCCCCACGCATCAGGAATATTGGAGTCAGTTAGCTTTGAAAATTAACTACTATAAATTATTGAGTTGGAAGACAAATTAACATGTGGAGTCATTGATAAGTGTTAGTATTAAAATTTTTTAAAATTTAAAGTATAATGCATCAAGAATTTATTATGTATTTTTCTAGGTTAGTTAAAAAGTATATATGAATATTTTTCAAGTATACAAACTACAGAAGCTTTTTTGTGTTATCCATATAAACATTGTGTTGTGCAAGTATAATTAAAATATTCACTGACTAGGAAAATTCGTATAAGTAAAGCATTTCCGCCAAAAAAAATTCTTGAGCAAAGATAAAGAGAAAAGACCAACATTCAGATCTCTAAATGGCAATCCATTCAAACCCTTGATAGCATCCAAAATATCCATTTAAAGGACTTTAGTTCCTTTCTCAGGAAGGAACAGGATTGGGTTTACTGAATTATTTTACACTGTAAAGACATGGGACGATGAAGAAGCACGTATATACATATATTGAACATTCTGCACGTCTTGTATCAATCACACTAAATTCTAGCAAGTCCAAGGTACAGAAGTTTCTGATGTAACTGAGATAGAGATCATCAAGTGTCGTAGATGATCAAGTAGATTTATTTATTCAACATGACAACAACACAAGAAGGGCAGTCGAGCTGAGTACTCATTACATGCCTCCCCTGTTGATTCTACACCAAGTCAAAGAGAAGCTCCACGAGTCCTTTTTACGCATAAGAGGAAATCAACCATCAAGACAAACACAACATATTAAGGTAATAATATAGGTGTTACGGATCTCACATCCTTATTGACTTAGCTTTAATTCTTAACCTCATCTCCAAATTCAATATTAGGGGTCTTCTCAGCAGGTGGACAGCATCTAAAGCAAAGTCCATGGAACAAGCGGCAACAACCAAATGCGCAACGATCTACGATTACAGGATCCTGATGAGCCTCACCTGAGCTGGCATCGTGGACACCAGTGGCCTTCGTGGTCTCCTGATCTGTTTCAAGACATAAGGAGACATAACTGTTAGGAGATTTACCTTATGCTGGAAAATAAAGTGACTGGCCAGGCGGAAAATTTGCAAGATATATGCAAAGAAAAGAATACTGTGGATTAAACAGAACAGTCTAGGCATATACGATGTTGCGACTTGCATATGAATTATTTTGCATTATAGTCTACTCAATAAATTAGAATTAGAAGTATTTAATTTGACGTTAATTTGATCACATCCCAATAATAAGTTTGCTAGGCTTCATTCATTTGAGTGTTCAGGTGCAGCCAAAAATATAAAAAAGAAAGAAAAAAACAGGGTACCTGCTGTTGTTACATCAGCGGAAATGAGGAGTACAAGTGCGAAGAGAACACCAAAAAGAAAGAGCAAACTTTTTGAAGACGCCATTTGATCACAATTTCGCTCAAAATATAAATGACGTGCAAAATTTATTGATATCTAGTGACAAGTGCATTGAGCTAAAGCCCTATTTATAAGAACTAGGATGGGAACACTGTGTCTTGTGTGGAGGAAATATTTTAGGAATAATTTCCTGAGGTTTCTAATAATTTTAGCTAGAACCCTTCTTGTTTCCAACATCAGATTAACTTGTATTTGATGTTGATGGGACCTAATGTCAATATCATCAAGGACAAATTCACCGTAATACCTCACTGAAATAGCTTTTTAAACACTATTTTAGAAGCAAAATATCATCTACAAATTTACCTACATACCCTCAAAACTTGGTGCCAAAATTTAACAACTTTTACTAAAACTAATTTCTTCTGTTGGTTGGTGAGCTGGAGAAGAGCTTTAGGAGCTGAACTTTAACCTCCAGAAATCTTTCATTGGGTGAAGGAAGATTGCTGCAAAAGGTGGGTTTTAGCCATATTCCTTGACAACTATAAATGAAATTTCAGAGTTATTAGCCATAGTCCATGGGTCAATGTCATTAATTCTCAAATTAGGTGCTATATCTTGATTGAAATTTCAGAGTCGCAGGTTGTAGTGCACAGGCATCAGGGCAGCCAGGCTCTCTCGTCCTATTGTTTTCCTTCCTTCTGCAAATTAATTCTTAGCCAAGTTCCTCGTTGGATCGTACTCTACATCACATTATATGTCTGGCATACAACTTGAATAGCAAATTGTTAGTGATTCGTAGACCATAGGTACCCTTTATCGTGTGATACTCTTTAATTTGCGAAGTTAATACACCTTGAAGACCAGGAACTTGAACTCATTGGACAATGCAGGACAAAATGCCGCTAGAAACTTCTGAATTTGTGTAGAAATTATTCGTATGAAATTTTTCAGGATTCAAAAAAAAAAAAAAAAAAAATCCTACGACATAGAGAAGGCTGTACACATATCCACTCCAGCCGTCATCAATTGCCTCCGAAAATGACATATACAGATTTCTTGTCCTTGAATTCCACCTTGATTGTTTCTTCAGCCTTATCCACCGTCTTATAGATAACCAATCTGTGGCTCATCATTCTTTCTTATCAATTCTATATATAATCGCCTTAACAACCATATCCTCTCCAGTACATAAAGAGTGATCAACTAACAGTTCAGCCACTTCTTTTGACCGAATTCTGAAAGGCTTTGTCAACTTGAACTTTGATGGTCTAATCAGGCAATGGACTGAAGTGTGATCTTTCAGAAGTTTCAAAACAGTTGCATGGCTGTGGACAAATCTTTGTTACAGTTTTTTCCTCTATCCAGTGTCTCTTTAATTACTCATATTTTTCTTAATATATTCAGCATAAGTATATTGGTTACTATGTTAAATGCACTTCTAGGTAAGTATACTCTTGGTGGGTTTACAGTCTACTAGAAGAAAGCATCAATTAGTTTTATTAGTTGGTAAAGTTTGTTCTCTTGAGTCCCTTGCACGGTCGGCTGAGGGTTTCCTTGTCAACAAAAACAAAAAAGGTTTGTTCTCTTGATTTCAAATTTCCCTAGCATCTTGACTAAATGAATTCAAATCAAAACTCAGGGAAAATTTGAGCATTCTCATTCAGTATCAGCCTGTCAGACTTATTCCTTCACTTTAAATAGATAAATAAAAGATTACAATTGTACATTTCTTGAAATTATACCACTAGGCCATGTTGAAACTAACTAAATAGTAATGTGTATTTCATGATGTATTCAATTAGTAATTACATACTCCAGAAGCCTTGAATTCAAACAAAGATACAGTCACAATAATAGATATCTTCCAATTTAAGCACCAAGCATACAACTGCATTACCCATACATATAGTACTAAAAGCAATATAGAGTCAAAAAATTTCTCATTCATTTAGTTATTGATTTTTATTTCTCAGAATTACCTTGTTTAAAGTCTTCTAACATATATGTCCATATTTCTCAGAATTACCTTGTTTAAAATCTTCTAAATATTTTCTCATTTATTTAGTTATTGATTAGTCGTATCTTTCTTGCACACATACTATTTGCCGAAAATATTTTCGACCTCAATGGACAGCAGCCAAAAGTACAAAAAGGATAACCATCGCACTATTGACACAATCGAGAATGTAGCATTTGTATTTCAAATTTCTGCTCTTATGTTCTCTTCCTTGTTTGATAAAATTTTTGCTTTTTTTTTTTTGTTTTGTTTTTTGGATCTATCCAATTCTATCACAAAATCTTGCTGACCAACAGCTTTCTTCATCTTCTACATTGGAGTAGTTGTAATATTACTCTATCCTATTCATTTATCAAAATCAGGGTTTGGTGTACAATATCCTGTCTTGAGAGCTGCCAAAATAAAGGAAGACCTTCACAACTACTACTTTGTCGTTCAGCTAAGTTAGACGTCCTCTAACTTGGTAACATTTTTAGGTTAGGGTATTCTATTGTGTAAGATGTTCCTTATCGTCATATGAAAATCCTTTCTGTATTGGTTGAGTTGTTCTGTTTATATTTTAAAAAACATGCTTGTTATTCCACATACATTCCACTTCAGCTGCAGTTGGAAGCACAGGGGTTTTGCACATTCACAGATACCAAAATGTTTTCGATGCAACATATTACTAACTGAAAATATCCCTGGCCTTGAAAGAGGTACTCATTGCAAGTTGTGTGCAATTTTAGCACTTTCTGTTTGAATATACAAAAATTCCATACATTAATTCAAGCTTGCAATAATTTTAAATCGTTAACTGCGTTGGAGTTTTTTTTTATTCATGTCAATAATTCAAATTAGCTCATAATTCATTTAGCGTTTGTGTATATGGAACATTTTTAGGTAAACTATTCATAATTCCCTTACACTTTTGTATGATACCAATCAAATTGAGGAAAAGAGAAAGAGAACACCAATCTGAGGAAAAGAGGAGCACAAGTGCGAATAGAACACCAATCAAATTCCACCGGTAGATGATAGATGATAAGATCGAAAATGTAGGACCATTGTCAAGAGCTGTCAGCTAAAGCCTTGTGCATGAAATCTGAAGGGTTTCGTTGGGAGGTAGAAATCAAAGTAGGACATAGACGGAGATGGTTGCCTATTCAACGTTGGAAGTATATCACATGCAAGTTGTAAAGCCCAACTTGCATAATTTTAATGGCATAGTTGCGTCACGCTTGACATTCTTTATAGTTTCTACTTCTACTCTCTTCAAGCTGAAATTCTCATCTCAATTTCCTCCTCATGTGATAGGTGCATGTCTGTACATGTTCCCCCACGACAAGAATAACGAATCAATTGCCATAATTGCATTTGAATTTTCTCAGCTAGTGATAACTTGTATAGTTTTGATTTTTCTGCCCTCGGTTCCAGTCTACTTCTCGATTTATTAACTGAAAAAAAAAATAGAAGAAGAAAGAACAAATTGAATCTTATTTAATTAAATTCTTAGTCAAGATATCCGTAGTAGGCATAATTGTCTCTATCGAAAAGAATGAAGCTTACTAGCTCGTGATCTTTTTTTTTTTTTTTTATTAGAAGATAATCATCCACTATTGTTCAAAATTTCTCCCTACATAAATGTATTGCTTTAACCTTGGTGAACAAGTCACTAGTTCAGCGTGAATTTCTTAATTCAAGAAAAGCTGATGGAGGAGAACTTGACATCCAAAGTTTCCTGGTTTGTTGTTGGAGCCACATTAAATTTGATTCCCACTGAGGAGGATGAACTCGTCATAGCTGGATGACTTATTATAGCTTCATAATCTCCATGATAAAGTGAAGTCTCAAAATGGGCCTCATCGTCTGTAGTGCCTATCAAATCCTCATGCTTCAATTCCTTGATGATCTTGTCAACAACGTCCACTGTTGGATGGTTTCTGAAGTTATTGTCCGTCAAACACATTCTATAACATCCCTGAGGAGACCATGCAGCCCAGATTAGTAGCCCTTGAATGGCTGGATGTCCCCGAACCTCCCTTATTATTTGATCCAAGTACGTGGCCTGATTGGGCTGGCTAGAGACATCCAATTCCGTAACCCAAATAGGTAATTTTGTGGAAGCAAGCAAATCAATTGAAGTCCTTACATAAGCTAGGTCCGGAGCACCGAAGTGTCCCTCGAGTCCAATTCCAAGCGGTCCCTGGTAACCCTGTGACCGAATTTCTTTAATTTTTGCCAGATACTTTGGAGGACTCGATGTTTGGTCATCTTTCTTCTCAATTGTATTGTAGTCATTTAAGAAGGGAATTGCCTTTCCATCAATCTGATTAGCCTGTCCATAAAACACAGATGATGCAGTTTCCCCCAGCTTACTCTCAAAGAAATTGTGGTGTATCTTAAACTACATAAAGCCGCGAAGGCTTTGCTACAGTCAATTGTCCTGGTTTCCCTGTAATTTGCAGCTCAGTTTGTCCTTTTTAGTCTTTTCGTGGGCTTCATCTAGCGCAATTGCTTCTGCTTCCGCTTGTCCTTGTTGCTTGTTTTGTTGCTTTGTTCCCATTCTGCCCTTTCGCTTGGTACGCCTGTAATTTTGTCCCCGATTTTGTCCTTTTGTTTCTCCCCGATCTTCCGCTGTTGCCTGAGTTTACTGACGAATGTTGGCTTTTCTCCCCAATTTCGTCCTTTTCTTTCTCCTCCGTTTTCCGCAGCTGTAATTGTTACCTTCGCTCCGCGATTTAGCCCTTTTCTTTCTCTTCCATTTTCGCTGCAATTGTTATGTCTAACTTTATTCACCAAAATGTTAGCTTCTCGCTTTTATTTATTAAGTTTCTTTCGCATATAACTCCCTTAACTTTGTATTGTATTAAGGTTTCTTTCTTCAAAATATAATTTTCCCTTCTCTTTTATATTTATTACGATATTCATTATTTAATATATATATATATTAGCAAAAATGTTGATTCTGTGAAAAAATATACGAACCACTAAAAAATTATTTTTGCACCTAATATTTATAGAACGGTATATAAATTCCATATTTATTACGATATTCATTAATTAATATATATATTAGCAAAAATATTGATTTTGTGAACAAATATGCAAACTCAATAAAAAATCTTTATCCGTCTAATATGTATAGAACAGTATATAAATTCTATATATAATATGATACCATTTGATCAATAAATAAATTGCTTCATGATTAAATAAATTTTTTTTCATATATGCTATTCAATCAAGCATTATTAATTTTTGATATCAATAAACTAACGGACTCTTTGAAATTGTGTTATCTATAAATTTTAGAATCTTATTAATTCCCAAAAAATTAATGCAAGTACTATTCTTTCCAGCAACATTTATTTACAAATCAATCGATCTAATACTCATAGAATACAAAAATGATTATTCGATTAATAAATACAAATATATGATTTCTTAATTTCTAATATCACATTGTTAAAAATCTTTAATTTATATATGTTGCTTCAATATCACATTGTTAATTTATATACAAGAAACAAGATACACACACTGAATAATAAAGATGTTGCTTCGATGATATTCTCTCTTAATTATTGTTTCTTTACTTTTGTTTGTTGTAGCTGTGCAGCCGCTACCTTCCATTCCTTAATGCAGACGCGAATTTTTTGGGTTATCCAAATCTATATATATTCTTGCATCCTATTTGTGTGCCTTTATATATATATATATATTCAATTGTGCCACTTTGTATTAGCTTCCATTAATACGACCAATTGTTTTTTAAAATATAGGATAATTTCCCTCTATTTAAAAAATGAACTTCCATAATATTTGTTAACTACTAATTATTAATTTAAAGCTTTTGCATTTTCGAGACTATTTTTCGAGACTAAAAAAATATTAAATATCAAAAAATTACGCAGGTCACTGAAAATCCTATGTATATCTAATACATACTAACGAATAAAAAATCTATATGTATCTAATCAATATATATAAATCGATTATAGTGTTTTGTATTAATGCAGATCAATGAAAATTATATGTGTTTAACTTATATCTAATGTATATAAATTAATAATACTGCCTTGTATTAACATATAATAAGTGTTATTTATATCAAATAATTATAATTTCGAGACTATTTCTATATTTATAATTTTCTCTCCTTCTTTATATTTTTTCGCTTATTTATTAACTCGCTTATTAATTAATTTTGTCGAAAGTGTGTGTATTGAAAAAAATATTAACTATTAAAAAATACGCAAATCACTAAAAATGCTATGCACATCTAATACATAAAATAGCATTCTTTTTATGTTTATTTGCTTATTTATTAGTTTTCTCCAAAATATATATTAGCAAAAATATTAAATATGAAAAAAATGCAAATTCTTAAAAATCCTACGTACATCTAATATATGCAAATGAATAAAAATTCTCTGTGTATCCAATTAGTATATATAAATCAATTATGCTGTTTCGTATTAAATATCAAAAAAATATGCAAGTCGCTAAAAATCCTATGTACATCTAATACATACAAACGAATAAAAATTCTATATGTATCTAATCAATATATAAAAATCGACTATGGTGTTTTGTATTAATGCAGATCAATGAAAATCATATATGATTTGCATGCATCTAATATATATAAATTAATAATACTACTTTGTATTAACATATAATAAGTGTTATTTATGTGAAATAATTATAATTTCGACACTATTTCTATGTTTATAATTTTTCGTCCTTCTTTATATTTATCCACTTATTTATTAACTCACTTATTTATTAACTTTGTCAAAAGTGTGTGTATTGAAAAAAATATTAAATATCAAAAAATTACGCAGGTTACTAAAAATCCTCTGTATATCTAATACATACTAACGAATAAAAATTCTATATGTATCTAATCAATATATATAAATCGATTATATTATTTTGTATTAATGCAGATCAATGAAAATTATATGTGTTTAACCTATATCTAATATATATAAATTAATAATACTGCCTTGTATTAACATATAATAAGTGTTATTTATATCAAATAATTATAATTTCGAGACTATTTCTATATTTATAATTTTCTCTCCTTCTTTATATTTATCTGCTTATTTATTAACTCGCTTATTTATTAATTTTGTCGAAAGTGTGTATATTGACAAAAAATATTAACTATTAAAAAATACACAAATCGCTAAAAATGTTATGCACATCTAATACATAAAATAGCCTTCTTTTTATGTTTTTTCGCTTATTTATTAATTTTCTCCAAGATATATATTAGCAAAAATATTAAATATGAAAAAAATGCAAATCCCTAAAAATCTTAGGTACATCTAATATATGCAAATGAATAAAAATTCTATGTGTATCCAACCAGTATATATAAATCAATTATGATGTTTCGTATTAATACAAATCAATGAAAATCATATATACTTAACATGTATCTAATGTATATAAATTTAATTAATTTTCTCCAAAATGTATATATTAGCAAAAATATTAAATATGAAAAAAATATGCAAATCGCTAAAAATGCTACGTGCATCTAATATATGCAAATGAATACAAATTCTATGTGTATCCAGTCAAATATACAAATTGATTATGCTATTTCATATTAATACAAATGAATGAAAATCATATGTACTTGACATGTATCTAATATATATAAACTTAAAAATAAATCAATCCAATATTTATTGATTCAAAAAACAATTATTCGATCAATAAATACAAATATATGATTCTAAATTTATAATTTCAAATTGTTAAAAATCCTTAATTTGTATATATTATATTTATGAATTTATATGCTTCACTATATTTCTTTTCTTTTAGTTTTTCTAATACTAAACTCTTCCATTATCTAACACACGATTTTGAATCTTTGGTGAGTTTCATACAAATTACATTCCAATCAATATAATTCATACACTACATTGTTACTCTCATTTCATAATACAACTACATTTTTTCCCTATTTTCTATCTCAGGTACTCACTGGTGATATACCATCGCATATACAAACAGACAACATGTGAGTCATCAATTGCTATCATGCTATAACTCGATGGATCTTTCAGCTAGAAGGAATAGAAATAACAAAATGTTGGCCAATATTCACACAAAAACACTTCTTACATGAAGGAAGTGTCATCATGTTCACCTTGCTCAATGAAAACAATTATCATCTGTAGCTCATCAGCAGAGACTTTATCCAACAATCATAAGTAAACATGTCCACTACAGCTTCTTGCACATAGCAATTATCTGTTCCCTAAATTTTCTTTATTCTACTTCCACTTATATTTAACAATATAAAAATAAACATATCGAAATTATTTCGAATTATTAATTTATCTCAACTCTTAAAAAATTATTTACATTCCATTAATTTAAATAATATTTACTCCTATTACTCTTAAAAAATTAAATACAAATCACAACAATATTACTATATCTATTTATAAATATATTAATCCAATATATTGTTCCTCTATTTATTATTTCAACCCTAATATCATATAAAACACTCTAAACATTAATTATTAAATAAATCTTACATTACTCTTAAACAGTCAATAATGGGCACCCCGCGAAACTCGCGGGGCACAATGCCTAGTATTTTCATTAACCACGTCTACTAGCTCGTGATCGTTATCCTCTGTTGCAATTCTCTTGTTCAAACTCCAAACTACGAATTCAGGGCATGTTTAGTAATCAGTTTCAAGTCCATAATATAATATGGACACTAAGTCTAATAGTTGTAGATATTAACACGACAAATATCGATTGTGAAACTCCGTACTTTTGGATTTACAATATAAGTGTATAAGTTTAATATTTTGTGGGTTTTGGGATATAATTTTTAATTTTAGAGGGAAAAAATGTTAGAAGTAGTAACTTATGAGAAGCTAGGTATATTTATGTGTGAGGTATATATTGTAATAGTACTTTTATAACCGAAAACCAATAAGCTAGACTAATTTATAGAAAAGCAATGAATGATGAGAATGAATCAAGTGTTGAAAGTAATAATTGATGAACCTGAGTTAATTCCAAAGGTTCATAGTAGAAAACCTATCATTTGAGGAGTTCAGAATCGTTCCAATTAACGAATATCCCCAAAAGGATAGAAGTTCATAATCTAGATAATGGTAACAGTGGCGGAGCCAAAAAAAATTCTCAGTAAGGGCAAAAGTAATACTAAAATTGTTTACCTACTCTTTTTCTAATTTTTTAAGCAAAAAAAAATATTCACTAACAAGTTGAAATGAAAAGCCTGTTTTTAGCTTACTTCAAATGCAATTTTGTGGCCCATATATTCTTTTAGAATATTAGTTCATGAATTAACTTAGAGGACCACGTAATTCTTTCATTTCCTTCATAAGAAAATTCCGGAGACACACTTAAGATTATATCAAAATTCTATGGGTAGTATAGGAATTTAAGGGGGACAGTGGGGGCCATGTGTGAGGACCCGAAAATTCCTTTAGAATTTCCTCCCATTTTTGAAACATTAATTTATATTTCCTTCTATATTTATTTACTTGATTATTTAACTATTTACTAGCCCTAAATTTCATGGTGATTTCATTAGTTGAGTCAAGAGTTTTATTTTTACATTTAAAGTTAGAGTAAGTAGGGTTTTGATGCATTTTGGTAGTGTGATTGATTGGTGAGGTGTGTGCACTAAATTTGGTGGATAAGAGCGGGTATTTAGTAAGAGGAAGTATGTGGTTAAAAAGTGCTAAGAGTAAATTAGTGAATCATAAGTTAAGATAAAAGTATAAGAGAGTTAAGAAATAGGCTTGAACTAACGTGTGCCGTTTGTTACCGGTTGAGCACACCACTTGACCAAGACTTTCTTTCCCTTAATCATCTTATTTTTCTTTCATTTTTCTTTCCCTAAATTTTCCCTATGGTTGGCCAAAATTATTGACCAAAAAAGAGAGGAAAAAGAACAAAAATAAGAGGAAAAATGGTAGAGCGACAAGTGTTGGCCATCAAGCCAACTTTGACCGAAGACCATTCTAGTCTTTATCTTGTAAATTCTCCTCAAAACCTATTCATTTTCTTCCTTCTTTGGCCAACCCTTAGAGAGAAAAAATAAAGGAGAAAGCTTCACAAATCATCTTGATCTTGCCTTGATTTAATAAGAAATCAACAAGAACTACAAATCTAATCCGAACAAAGGTGCAACAAGGTGACAAGGAAACTTGAGGTGGAGTGATTTTGCATAGGCAGCCTTGGTTTTGTATTTTTCCTTGAGGTTTGAAGGTATTAAGCTAAGAAACTCTCCTTCCCTTTCTTATGTTGCATTTTATTGGATAGATGACTTGAATATGGAAGATATCATGAATTTGTGAAGTTGGTAGAATTTTCCAGCTTAGGGTTTCAAAATTTCAGCTTGGGTATATTTGTTTATATATCAAGTATATGTTGAATTTGGTTAGTCTTTGCTATCTAGAATACGTACCAATTTTCTCCTATAATTTGTGAGCTTGATTTGGGGCTGTTATACTATGAGATTATAGCCTTGAAAATGGCTGGAAATTAGGGAAAATAAGGGGAAGTGCTGCCGAAAATTTCTCCGCAGGAGACCTTGAGCAGTCTTGGGAAATCTATTACATCTAGGTGTAGAAAAATTCAAAATGAGTTCCGTTTGTTGCATTGGAAACTAGACTTATAGATATTTTGACCGTGAAAATTTTAGAATTTTTCTCAATTTCTATGAACATCTGTGATTTTCCAAAATTGACTGAATTTCCATTCCTATTCTGTCTTTCTACTGGATAAAGCAGCCGCTTTAGATTGGATTTTGACTAACTTGTGGACAGAATCTTGCAAAGAGGTCTTCTGAGAAATTGTAATCCTTTGAATCTATTTTCCAACGGTATAAATTTTTTAAATTTTGGACTTAAGAACCTTGAAATATGATTTTTCAAATAGCATCGTGTAAAACTGGGAAAAATTCTGTTTTCTTAAAGCTCTCCTTACTTTCACTTCCAACTTCAAGTTGGAGTTGTTGAACCATTTTGAGCTTGATTTTTCTTTTGGAATAATGTGACTGGGCTTAGTGGATCTCATGGCACTTTAAAATGTGATTTAGGACGAGGAGGTGAGGTCGGAAGTGCACTTGAGGCGAACACTTGAACTTGTACCGTGGTGAGTGTTCCTTGCATGTTTGTGCAATAAGTGACTATGTGAATATCTGTGAGTGATTGTTTGAATGTTAAATGCTTTCCAATAACTGTTAAATGGATTTTCAATGGGCGTGTGTGTATTTTATCACACTCAACCTAAATGAATATGAATTTAAAATGATCAAGTGATTGAACGTTACTTGTGCATGAATGTAAGCCTTTGGCTGAACTGGACCCTTGCCCTTCGTTGCCAGTTGACTCAAGTCAGAAGAGGACTCAGTCGGGCGGCTGGTATTACCACGAAGTCTGGTGGAGAACTGGCCAGTGAATTCAATGCAATGAAATCAATGAATGAGTGACAATGAATACTGAAGGAGTTTTCACTGTTAAATGTTTCGAAATGATGGAGGAATAAGGGAAAAGGTTGGCGACTGAATGACTGAATGAATGGCTCCAAGTAAGCACGTATCCTTCCTATGAATGAATGTTTATTTCTTGAATGACTATTTATTATTGTGCAAAGTGTTCAAACTGTTAAGTACCATACTTCTATGGTTTCTCTACCTGATTGCTTGTTTGGGAACCTCACTGGGCTTTTAGCTCATTCCTTTAGTTTTTGTTTTCCTTACAGGAGTGGAGGTCTGGAGCAATCAAGTATGACCTAGAGTGTATAACCCTCTTGTACTTGTACTCTTGGTTGATAAGATGTATTTTGACATTTGACGTTGTATCATACGTTTGGCTTTAGGTTGTAAATAAGTTTGCATTTTGGTTGAATTATAGAACTTAAATATTATTTTGGAGGCTTGAATGATTAATCTTGAAAGTTGATTGAGTGAGTGAGTGAGTGAGTCCTGGCGAGAGCTAGGCAGGCGGTCCGCCAAACCTTTGGGTACGCCCTAGGGGGAGGTGGGGTCGTCACAGGTGGTATCAGAGCTACTTCGCATGATCTCTGCGTGGGGTGAGCTTGGGGCAAATGGTGTTATGGTCCTGATTATTGGCGACATACACTACAAGAAAATTGTTCATCAGTGACAACACAAAGTCATCACAGAACATACAAATATCGTCACAAATACCTTTTATTGACGACTTTTTGATCGTCACAAAGTCGTCACTAAATCCCCGTCGGTAAAGGTAAACAGTGACGACATTTTTAGGTCGTCACTAAATAGTTCTCATTAGTGACGACTTTAAGTAGAGCATTTTTGACAAAAGATCAATTCGTCAATAAAACACTTCCAGATTGTCGTCACTAATGACAACTATTTAGTGACAACTATTTGGTCGTCACTAAATAGTTGTCATTAGTGACGACAATCTGGAAGTGTTTTATTGACGAATTAACCTTTTGTCAAAAATGGTCTACTTAAAATCGTCACTAAAAAGCACCGAAAGCCATTGTATATAACTATTTTACTGACAACAATTGTCGTCACAAATGTAACTTAGATTTAGTGACAGTCTCTGTTGTGACAAGGAGTTTTTATTTTCTATTTTGTGACAACTTTTTTTTGTCATTAGATAATTTCATAATAGCTTAATAGTCATAATTTGGCCTGTAATCATTGCTAAATCATTGCTAAATCATTGATTTTAAACAAACCATACAAATAAACATGAACGATTGATAACCAAAAGTATTTGCATTAGATTATATGGTAATAATATAGCATTCTCAAATGCCAAATTCAAGTGTACATTGCCCAACTAATGCCTACAAAAATAACATTTGTCCAAAATATCACTTGTACATAAGGTACATTTACAAAAGCAATCACAGTTTAAGAAATTGAAGAACATCTAAATGAACCACTCCATGAGCAAAAGGCAATTTTGTCTTCAACATTGTTCAACCATAACCATAGATATCTTCCAAAAGCTAGTATGAATAGCATTTATCTGTCATAAAAGAGTAAAAGAAGTAGGTAAGGGGAGGAGTACAATAATAAAGAACAAGTAATGAGACTTAGATTATTAAGACAAAAATTACAATTCATTAAGAACCTCATATAATTTGGGCCCACATATTACAACACCAGCAAGAAGTTAGAAATCACAGTCCAATCTATACAAATACAACACTGCATAAGCTCAACTAAAGAGCTCTCTAAAATAGTTTTTTTTAATTTTCTTTCTTCTTCTTTAAATAGCTCAACTTATTGAACAATTAAATTGGACTCCCACAGTAATTATTGTTTAATGTTTATGCTTTTGGTTGTTTATATATTAAAACTAGGTGATTGCTTCCCACGCAAGGCGTGGGAACTTTAGACCTGTTAGTAAGGTTGTATTTGTTATTGTAATATTTTTAATATTTTAGATGATGAAAAGAGTGATGTGGTGTGTATCGTGAACTTGGGCTGGGAGTGAAAAGGAGTATTAGTCAAAAATATATTAGTTCAAAGAGTAGTCATGTACTAATACAAAGGATACAGCCAATGCAGTAATAATGATTCACAAGAAAAAGGAAAGCATGATATTTACATATACAGCAGTAATTTAGTATAGATGATTCAAAAGAAAGAGGCTCCTTTGACGTTCAAATACATTCCATTAACATGTAACAACAACTCAGATGACAATGAAATAAATTCACAAGTACCAATCACTTGGTCATTACTGCAGTAACAGTTAATGGAAGTAGCAAGATATTGCTACAACTTGGTCACATGCAAATTTTTTTTTTGTTCTGGGTTCACAAGGAATGAATTCATAAATTATGAAGCAGCAAAATAAATTCACAAGTACCAATCACTTGGTCATTACCACAGCAACAGTTTCAATACCAACAGTTTCAACTTTCTTGAGACAATCAAGTTGCATCTTAAGTTTGCAAAATATCAAGTTTTACATGTCCATTAAAAATTTTAAAAAGTACCTTTGCTTTCATCACCACCTTTCCGGCTTAGAATACCTCCTTGAACACCACCCCCATAAGCCACTGCTTCATCTGGTTTTACACTCTTGTTGGGTTCCTTTCCATCAAAGTAGTCCTTGAGAAGTTATTGGACTTTTGGGATCCTGGTAGCCCCACTAACAGGAACAATTTCATGCATCTGGTGGTTCTCCAAACCAGCATCCCCCATAGCCTTCTTGACAAGTCCCATGTTTTTGCTAAAGAGGTCATTGTTCAACTCGTCAAATCAAGCATGAGTCCTAACTTGCTGCTGGCTGCTTAAAGCTCTTTTGGCACGTTCAGCTTCCCTCAGTTTTCCAAGTGGTCTATTGTGGTTGCTGATGTTCTTTCCATGTTTCTTGTTAATCAACTTGATGAAATATTCTATAATCCTTTGATGAAAGCCTTTGCCTACAATAAAACAGAGCAATTAGAACCATATGAAAGCTTTTTATAAGAAATGTAACTAATAAAACTTATACAAGAAATTGGTTGCTTTAATCATTGTTCAATATTTTGCAAAATCAACAGTTAATTAGTGTAGTTAGATAAACTTTTTTAATTCGTAGTTAGACAGGCAACTGCTGCTGCTCTGGGTTCATTGATAGTCCTAGCAGCATTCAGCCCAGCAATAATACCTGCATTCTTTGTTGCCTGCCTCTGGGCATCATTGAAGTAAAATATGATTCAACGAGTAACTCTAGAAATTGAACTATACTGGGAACAGTTACCACAGCATCCTTAATTTTCTTTGCAAGGAAAGCTTCAGCTGCTTCTTTCATCTTAGTTAAAACCATTACACTAATTTCCTCAAGACTGAAGACTTTAACCTTACTATTCTTAATTTCCACCTAGATATAAGGTTTTCCATCCTTGTTCACAATCTTACAAGGAACGAGCTTCATATCCCTCTAAACTTCATTAGTCTCAATCCTGTTATATAACAGTTAAGACTTCAGTGAGCATATGTATACACACCAAAATGTTCCAGCAAAAATGATAAATACACGAGTGTGCCTTACTTTCATCCAATAAGTCTCTTGACATCAAAGATAGTTCTTTCAACATTAACATCGAATCAGTCTTTCGCTACCAGCAAATGCAATCCATGATGGCTTAATACGATTCCTTGGTCATTTGCTGTGATTTCAACATGACCATTTTTGTAAATATGAACACATGAATAGGTAGTTCCAAGATCTATTCCAATGACTATTCCCAATTTTGCAGCTTATTCTTTGGTGATGGAAATTGTAGATAGACAGCCTTTTGCACCGAAAAATATTATTGGAAAAAGTAAAACTCTTATGTATAGTTTTTGAGAGAAAAAAACTAAAACACTGCAGGATGAAGCAATTCCACACTCATGATGAAATCCACAATTACTCGAGCAACCGTGGGATTGAAGAGTTCGAAGAGCTTGCTCAAACATTGTGGTGACCATCCCAAGAACAAGTGGAAAAAATAAGAACTCATTTAATTTCAAGAAAATGAAATGAACATCAAGTATCAAACTAACAAACAGTGCAGGAACAGAAGAAGGATATGAACTGCGAAGAACAATCTGATAGATAGCCTAGTGGTTAATGGTTTTTTTTCCCATCTCCCTTTTTTCTTCCTTCCCAATCCTTCCTTGCTAAAAAATGGCTTTGAAAGTATCAAATAGTACCTATCAAATTAGCGAACTGAGTTAGTTTAAAGAAGATCCTATAATAGTTATTCTAAAAATCTTTAGTCACTTGCTACGTGAGGAGGGCGTGGCAGATAATAACTCTTTGTTTTTTGGCTCATTTCGAATTGATATACTTTTTGGCTTAATTGGAGAGAACTAATTTGAATCATTTCCAACCAATTTACAGACATATCCTTAATGCTTTCCAATAATACAAACAGTTTTTTTTATTGAAAAGATAACCGAGTCAATTAGTGGGTTCCATTCCATCATAATAAGAGAGAGACTCTGTACTAATAATGTCAATAATAAATCCAATCATGTAACATAAATGAAAGAACATCAATTATTAATTTGCACCAATAGCAAAAATCAACTGGAATTTCCCTAAAGAAGTTGTACACGAAACATACTTTTATACAGTAATTTGTGATTAAACTACTACGTATTTCCAGTCTACTGTGCCGTTTCGTGACGTGGGCTCATAAGCTACGGTTTTGTTTGTTTCTGTACGAGAAGAAGCTAAACAATAGTTATCGTTAAAAAAAAAAAGGGGTTGGCGAGCTCCGACAGAAGATTGGATCTCCTCAAGGCATAGTCAATTAATACCAGTAAAGAAGTGTCTTTATGTAGTCAGTCAAGGGAAGGGATAAATAAATGTGCGTCATTTTAGCAATTTAGTGGGAGAGAAGCTAAAACACCAGACGGCAACTTTTGAATAATCGTCGTATTCGGAAAAATACACTACTACTACTACAAAAAAAGGGTTAAGAACAGGCCTATCCATGACGACGTTCTTTAACCTCCTCAGAGGGTCAGACAACTTTCTGGAATCGAAGAGGTGGCTGAGTTACACGTTTATAAAAGAAACCAACAAAAAGAATGCACCCACCAATGAAATCCTACTAGATTGAATAATGGAGTGTAAAAAAGAACCACTGTCTAGTGATACATTATTATTATTATTACCAGCTTACATCTCGTAAAGTGATCCAATATTAACAAAGCTAGACTCCAAAGCCATGGGAAGAGAGAGTGAAAAAACCCACCTTTAAATCAAAGGTTTGTATAAGAGTTTCGCGTAGCGGCCATGAAACTATTTAGTTTACTAAAAAAAAAATATTAATAATCAAATGAATTCACTTATAAAAAAGCGACTAAAAATAACCATCTGTCTAAACGATATATGCACCATTGTGGAAGTCAAACTACAAAGCAAAGACTCTGAAGTTTTAAAACTTTAAACTGCCTGCGTCAATCTGTAAGGAGCATGTGTGTAGTGTACTTCAACCGTCTAATTCCAATTTCTAGTAAATTGATTTTAAAATCCTGAATTAGGTTCTGATATCGCGCGCGCACTCTAAAGAAATTCACTTAAAAACGACAACTAATTAGAGGCCTCTTTCAGTTCAGTTGATATTTGATGGAATGACCGGAATTGCAAATTTAAGCAAACGATCGTCTTCCCCAAGCAGATTAGGCATCAATCTTCTATTTAGACCTTCACTCGGGCATTTTAACAAACAGTACATGGGCATAGAAGGATCCAGCAATTTTTGCTCAATTGGGACTGTAATTAGCCCCCCAAAATTTGTCAAAACACAAGAGATTTCAGTCCAAACAACATACAATAGCATACAATCTAAAATCGTTAGCAATCAACATGAAGTTGGCACTGAACAAACGCACGGCAAACATGCTTTGAGACTTTTCAATGTTCATACTAAAAATGGAAAACTAAAATTCAAAGAAGGCAGACGGCTTACAGCGTTTGCTTGGCGAAGTCTGCAGGTGATGGTGATGGTCGAAGGAAGGTGCGAATGATCAGGCGGCTGTAGCTGCCATGGTAGCCGCGCTGGAGCTGGGCGCCAGTGGTGGGTGGCAACATGAAATCGAGGAGCGACAGTGAGAGAGAAAGGCCGTGCGGGAAGGGGAGATGCGTCAGGCAGCTAGGCGGCGCACGAAATGGAGGTGCCGTGGCGGAACTTGGAGGCGGCGGAAATTGGATGAGAGCAGAGTGACGGCAGCTATGGAGATTGCGCGCTGCGATGGCCGATGAGCGGCTGTTGCTCTGTATTTTCTTTGTGTCCCCTCTAGGCCAAGACCTTTCTCTGTTTCTGGTTTCACTTCCTCAATCACCAGCCCCCAAATGAAACTTTAGTCTTTTCCTTCGTTCCCCTGCCGACGTCCCCCTTTTCTTCCTCGACAGCTAAAAGATTTTGGGCAGAAATTTGCAAAAAATATTGTAGAATATTAGGGATTTGGAAAAATTGGGGAAAATGTATAGGAGAGAGAAAAACGAACATTTCCAATGAAAACCTTGCCCTTTAATGCTGGACAGCCATGGTGATTCTAGTGAGAAGCCAGAGAACAGATTTGTTGTGTGGGTGAAGGTATCAGGTGCCGTGCGGAAGCTCTGTTTTGTGCTCAGTGCAGAAGCTTGTTTGTTTCAGCTCGGTGAAAGTTTGTGTTGCTCAAGTGTTCCGTTGCTTTAACTCAGACCAAGTGTTCCGTTGCTTTTCTTTTCAGAATGTGTTCCGCTGCTTTGGTCTGTGCTTTGCTTTGGATATTGTTTTTGTTGCGCGGCACTTTCACTATGATTTGATCAAAATTTTGACTTCACTCATTTTCCCTCCATTTGATACCAAAAATCATGTTTTTTTCTGGATTTGTAATATGGTTTGAACCATAGATTTTAATGCTATAGTATTATTCTTTATTTTTTAGCAAAAAATAAAAATTTTCATCAACATAGGTGGTAAAATTTGTTAATTTCATATAATTGAAAATGTACTTTTATAATTTGCTAATATTTTATACTAATTTCTTATAATTGCAGCACTAAAGAACATCATGTAATTGAAAATAATTAAACTCAAATTATATGGTTATAACATAGTTTCAATAAAAATAATCATTTTCCCAACATTTGAGACCAATCATCATGCTTTTTTTATTTTTAATTTGGTTTGAAGCATAGATTTTATTGCTATAGTATTATTCTTTATTTTTTAGTACAAAAACACAAATTTTCATCAATATAGGTGGCAAAATTTGTTAATTACATATAAGTGAAAATATACTTTTATAATTTGCAAATATTTTAGCCCTGCAATTTTTTATAATTGCAGCACTAAAGTACATCATTAATTGAAAATAACGAAAGTCAAATTCTATGGTTATAACAGACTTTCATTAAAAATAATCAAATGCTATTAATAAGACATTATTGTTAAGTCAAAATCAAAGAAAATTTAGTGATGACATAATGTTATCACTAATTTATTCAAGATTATAATGACAAGAAAAGTCGTCACTAATTAAATTGCTAGTTTTTAATATTGTCAATTGCTAGTTTTTAATACTTTTGTGAAAATATTGATAATGGTTGAGAAAATTTTGTTACATTACTGCAAGTGATAAATGTACTTTTGTTCTTTTTCAAACATTTATTTTAATGTTTAATTTTGTTTAAAACTATTGTACTAGTATAGATTTGCAAAACAAAACTTAAGTTCTCAATAGTTAAAAAATTCATTACAGAGAAAACACAAAGTAGTAGTTGCAAAATGTGTATAAATTACAGATATTTTAATGTGTATAAATTACAGTTTATTTTAATGTTTAATTTTGTTTGAAACTATTTTACTAGTATAGATTTGCAAGACATAGATTTATGGGTAATTTCTTTTTTTTTTGCTTTCACATATTTAATTTATGTTAAATACAAAACCTACCAGTTTCCCTTTCATAAAAATATTAGTGCAACACTTTTTGAATTTTACTTACAAACATTTATGTATTTAACATAAATTAAATGATTCAGAGTGAAATGCCCATAAAGAGCAGAATATTTGTTCATGTAATGGAGGAAACCCACAAAGAGTTGGTACTTTATGGGCCATTTCTTTTTTTAAAAAAATTTAATTTATGTTGAAAAGATAACCTGCCAGTTTTCGTTTTGTAAGAAATCAGTGTAACACTTTTTGAATTTTACTTACAAACATTTATAAATTTATCATAAATTATATGTTTGAGAGTAAAATGCCCATAAAAAGTTGGTACTTTGAATAGATAATGCTCATTTGCCCATAAACTACACTCCCTGAAGGCTATTTTGTTAATTACTTTGTAGTACTTTGTTATTCCTTTGCTAATACTACTTGGCATGTAGTACAAAGGATAAATCTGGCATAAATTTCTTATTCCATTGATAAAAAGACCTGCCTGCCTTATAACTATTGTAATGAAAGATATATCTTTAGAGTTTATAACAAATTATTACTTAAGTTTGAGAAAATTATAAAATATTTATGCATAGTTTATCAAGATACCATTCGCAATTTCCTAATAAAAAAATAGGGCTAAATTGTAAAAGCTAGGGTGCCATAATAGAAATAATAAAATTGGTGTATTACATATGGGGGTTAAATTGCAAAAGTTAGAGTGCCATAGTAGAATTAATGAAATTGGTGAATTACATATGGGGCTAAATTACAAAAGTTAGGGAGTAATAATAGAATTAAAGAAATCGGTGTACTACATATGGGGCTAAATTGTAAAAGTTAAGGTATCATAATGGAATTAATGGAATTTTTTACAACATTTGGGGCTAAATCGCAAAAGTTAGGGTGGCACAGTAGAATTAATGAAAGTGACTTAGAAATAAGTACTTTAAACAGTGACGATTAATTCTTGTCACTAAATCCGAATCGGTAGAGTGACAGTGACGATATTAGAAGTTGTCACTATATAGATCATTTTAGTGACAACTTTTTCAAGGTCGTCACTGAAGACTTAGTTGCTTTGAGCAATTATGACAACTTTCCTTGTCGTCACTAAACAACCACGTTTTGTGACGACTTTTGTCGTCACTAAAAAATGTTGTCACTAATGACCATATTTCTTGCAGTGTAGTTTGTGACGAAAATAACGGGTCGTCACTAAACATTTAGTTGCTTTGATGCAATTATGACAACTTTAGGTGTCGCGACTAAAGAAGCTCCTTTTGTGACGACTTATTGTCATCACTCAAAAATGTTGTCACTAATAAATTTTTTTTTTAGTGATCAGTGACGACAACAAAAAGTCGTCCGTAAATAGGCCAAGCAATAGTGATGATGTTCTTAATGTCGTCACTATTGTGTGTTCTAAACACTCCCGCGCTCTTGCTAAAACTTGGCGGGAATTTACTAGTGACGACTTAGAAAGTCGTGACAAATGAGTTGGCTCCCATTAGAGGTTTGTGACGAGTTAGAAAGTCGTCAATAAAGGATCCACTTTTGTGACAACTTTTTTTCGTCACAGAGAAAAGTTGTCACTGATGACCAATTTTCTTGTAGTGATAGGCGGTAGTTAAATGGCTTCAGGTTGGAGATGCTAATTCCAAGTATTTCCATGCAGTGGTTAAGCAACGAAGGAATTCTAACTTTATTTCTAGAGTGAAGAATGATGCTGGTTGCAGTGGCTTCCGTTCGTGAATTTAATTTTTCTACGGCTTGTTTAAAGCACACATAGTCATTTACAACATGGATTTGAGGAAGAACGTGAGAAGAGGCATAAAATAGCTAGACAATCCTTTATAGTCATGTTGTGAAACCAATCCTTTATACATATTGAATTCACGAAGTCTGGTGGAGAACTGGCCAGCGAATTCAATCAAGAGTTTACTTATACATATTGAAACATGGATTTCAATCAGGATTGATCAAGGATGAAACATGTCTTGATTGATCACCAGTTCACAATGGAAAATTGATCAATCAGGAGAACTAGTGGAGAATTTCGGCCAAACCACTTAAACAATTCCACCAAGGATTTAACTCTTGCAAAAATTACTCAAATGACCAAGAGCTTCATCAATCATTAGCTCTTGACGACAAACAATCATTCCTTACAACAATCAACCAGAATTTTAACTCAAAAACATAAAAGGAAGTCACGGCTAGCTTACTCATAATTAACTCTAGAAATCCAGATTTTAGTTAGCTAGATGCACATCTAAACTCAGATTACCATAATAGTCTTTCACTAGGCTCAATGTCATTCACACACAAGACAATTTTAGCATGTAAGCTTCACTTGAAAATTCAGAAATGGTGGCTAAAAGCTAAGTACAAGTCTTGACCGCTTTAATTAAGGTAACTTGTTAAAAGGGTAAAACTTTGAAGAGTCACGGACAGCAGTACACATGGAGGAAAAATATGAAATTTCTACAGAACAAAGGCTCATGATTCTAGTTTCAAATGCCACCGACGGTACCTCAATCGGATTTTCCTACACCAAGATATAAGCATTTTACTGGGACTGGTCAGTGAAATCCGAAAATCTGGAAACTCATTTTTCTCTTGTGAAAATCTCTTTTTTTTTTCTCTTTTAAAACCATAAGACTTTTATTCAAACCATCCATACATTTAAGTATGACATTCATACCAGCAATTTTAACATAATTCAAGCATCAAATTTGAACAGAAACCCAAAGAAATACACATACATTCCAAGTTTATAAACTTGTATAATGTTTAAACTAATATACTTTCTCAATCCAGTATTAATTATGGCTTATAGACACTTCATTTTCCCTTTTAAAACTAACTAAGCTCTAGGTTGTTTGTGAATTAAATTTTGTTTCACAACCTTAACTTCTCAAGTTTTATAGTCTCTTAAATATTATAAAAACTAATTTAAGTGATTAGGAGCCATTCATGTATATAGCCATAACAAATTACCTTAAAGTTTCTAAAACAATATATAAGTCTTCATCTCATTACCAATTCAACCATTTAACTTGATTTCCGGCCACTAATCACTCACCAAATTTAAAGTTTAGATTATTAGAAACCATGTTTCTTAGCTTATTAAACAAGATACGAAATTCCAACAATCTCTCTCACATTTCTCTTCAAGATTTGTTAAGTTTATTAACTAAGAATGACGAATATATACAAATACACCGAATTTAAAGTCTTGTGAAATAGTTAAACTAAGATTAAATCATTTTCAATCCCACTTAAAAGAGTAGAACTGGAAAAACTTTTCATTTCTTCTCTCTCGGCCAAATCAAATTCCAATCAACTTTGTTGTTTAAATTCTCTCAGATTTCATTTGCTTTTCAGGTCTCAAATTCACTAAAATGGACGTGAATGATAGGGTCAAGATGTTATAAGATGTTTTATACAAGGTTACAACCAATCATCCTGGAATTTTTCGAAATATCATAAGAGCTTCATCTTCCCCCTCTCTTAGCCGACAAAACAGATTTCCAGCAACATTACCTCAAGGTTTTCAACAAAGTTCCATATTTTACTTGGTTAAAACACTCAACACTCAGTATACACTC